CAATCCACTCGTAAGAATTATGAGTTTGCAGAATTCCCATGGCAGAATCGAGACGACCCAAGTTTGCCTTCTAAGCTTGAGGTTTTGGATTACTTGGAATCATATGCCAAACACTTTGATGTGTTGAGGTTCGTCAAGTTCAATTCAAAAGTGGTTGAGCTCCGATTCTCCGGTTGCTCGGAAACAACCGACCTCACCGGAAACGCAGGGTACTATTGGAACCGTCCATTGGTAGGCAAACCCGTTTGGGAGATTGCGGTGCAAACTAACGATTCAAACTGCCTTAAGATCATTTCTTTCTATCTACATACAAGTTTCTTTTTTAAATAAAAGCATATGAACTGACCTTAATAAAGAGATGAAATATATATATATTTCTGCTGGCCTTTATTTGCAGTGGTATGCCTTTGAATTTGTCGTTGTTTGCATTGGGCAATATGGAGACATACCCAGAATTTGTAACTTTCAAAACAACAAAGGCCCTGAGATTTTTAAAGGGAATCCTTCATACCATCGATTATTGCAAGCTGAACAAAGATGCTGCTTCTCAGCTACTTAAGCGGAAGATGGTTGTGTTTTGGCTATAAAAAATCAGCCATGGACTTAGTTGTTGAGTGTGTACAAGCAAACCAAGGTAACTTTCCATTAATTATGGTTAAAATGTTAATAATGAAACAAAATTAGGATTAATTTTTTAATTTCAAATGCACCAATTCAAGCAGAAATTATTTCATGGATTCTTTCTACTATGTCATTAATGGTCCCAACTAATTAAAAAGATACACATCAATCTTTTTTTCTATGTCATTCACACACATAAATTTTATTTTACAAGTCAATTTATTCATTAATGTATATCAAAATTAAACCTAAATTTAAATATTAATTTTAAGTTTTCATTAATACATATAATTTTTTTTACCTATCTTCATCCAAGTTTTCTTTCTTCCTATTTATCCAAGTTCTTTTTTTCTCTATCTAAAGTCTCTTTTTACCTCAAATTCATGTATAGGAATAAAAGTAATTGTTAACTGACAGTTCATGTCGATGTTGTCAAAATACTATTCAATTGCATATCAAGGAACACATATTTCAAGTTATGACCAACTAACTGTATATAAAAATTGTAGAATAAATATTCATGGAAAATAACAAATTTATTACTTGTCTATATGAGGTTTCACCAAGGCACAAATAACTAAGGGACAACCAAAAATAATTTTAAAATATTAATCTAATTTGCATGGAGGGAGATGCATTAGAATGAACTCTGAACTTATGGCATTGACAGAGCCATTAACATCCAAATACAATTCCACACTTAGCTTGACTTCTTTGTTGGCTTTAACACGTAACAAAACTTTTAAATTTGAGTTCCCTTCAATTATCATCATAACTTAATAAATTAAAACTTTAGGTATTTTAGTTTAGTGAGCCAGGAAAAAAAATTTGGATGAACATAAATAAATAAATAAACTTTGAGAAAAAAAAAACTCGGATGAAGAGAGATAAAAAAACTTATATGTATTAATGTAGATCCTAAAAATAATGCTTAGTTTAGATTTAATTTTGATACATATTAATGAAAAAACTGGTTTGTAAAACAAAATCAATATGTGTGAATGACATGAAAAAAAGATTGATGTGTATCTATTTAATTGGTTGACACTATTGATGATGTGATGGAAATAGTTTATAAAATAATTATTTCAATTTAAGAGTGGAGTTATAATGATTTTTCTAAAGATATGCTTCTTTCTTTATTTTCATATAGGGATGGATTGAGAGATCGACGGGGTGATAGTCGTCCAAAAAAATTTTAATTTTCATTTATTTTAGATGTTTTGTTTATATTTTTTTATTGGTAATATGTTTTAGTCTCTAAAATTTATTTAGTATATTCTCTTCAAATATTATAAGTTATTCCCTAACATAAAATTATATTTTCGATCCCTGTTTTCAAGCATTGGGTTATTGTTAAGTAATTTAGTTTGCATGAAGGAGCCGAAGGGCAACCATGCACCATGGTGGTAAGGACACCTCACTGGATTGCTCCAAATCATTGATTCTTCGGTTTGCTTTTTTCCCTCTTGTACACTACAAGATCTTCAGAGTTCCTCCATGAAAGACCTAACTAAACCATACTCAGGACCCTCCTTTGCTACCTCTTATCTCCCCTGGTGAGTCCAACTTTTCTTACATGAATCCCTTCACACAACTTTCTTTCTTACATTGTGTGTGTCTATGTGATAGAGGCGTGGGGCTTCGAAGTTCATGGAATCCTTCTTGCTTTGGAAGCTTCCATTAAACAAGTACGGACTGAAACCAGACCACTCATTTGAGGAAGACATCGCAGCGTGTCAGATGGTCACCGTGCCGAAAACTTTCTTTGCGGAGGCTGATAAGGGAAACATTGTATTCAAAAGAGCTTCCGCATGGTGGTTCTGGGAAGAAGGAATCGAGTTCGGTGACAATACGAAAACGAAGGCCGATGTTGTAATTCTCGCAACCGGTTAGAATGGAGTGAAGAAACTTAAAACAATCTTACCCGAGCCGTTCCGGAGTGTGATTGAATATCCGTATGGGATCATGGCCTTGTATAGGTATGCTTGAGAACTCTATGATTTTTTAGACTAATAATAATAATACTTGAACCAGCATGTGATGATTTGTTTTTCAGGGACACGATCCACCCGTTGATACCGAACATGGCGTTTGTAGGTTACGTCGAAAGCTTTTCGAACGTCCGGGCATCGGAGCTTCGTAGCATGTGGGTTGCTCGACTTATCGATGAAAACTTTAAGCTCCCGAGTACCGAAATCATGGTAGAACAAACGTTGAGAGATATGGAATTTATGAGGAAGAAAACCAGGTTCTACAAGAGGCCCTGCGTTGCAGCATTCAACATCAACCACGATGATCAAATATGTGAGGAAATGGGATAGAGCTCTTGGCGGAAAAACAGTGGGTTATTGAAAGCATTTTATTGTTTGATATTAATAAATGCATTGCAGTCAGGCTTATTGTCAGAAAAAAATAACACAAAATCTCATAGACAAATTTGCTTATCCGTAATATTATCCGTAATTCTTATCCATAAAAATTACTTATTAATCTACTCATAATTAACTTTTAAATAATCATTCATTTTTATTATAAAAAAACTTAAAATTATCTTAAAAATTAATGTATACAATAATAATTCTAAATAGTTAAAATTATATTTTCTTCTAATAGTCTTAGTTAATTATAAAAATAATATTAATATTTGTTCAAAATCTTTCTTAATTATTTACAATGCACATACATCATGTAGATGCAGTAGCTTTCGAAATCTTTAAAGAAAATAAATTTTTTATTTATAACTAAAATTATTTAATAGATTCTTAATAATTGAAATTATAAATTACATGATAAGAAATATTTATATTATAATTTTTCCAAAGCAAGGCATCCGTAGAATTGATTTAAATATCACAATACTATTATAATGCTGATCAACAAATTCAAACATGGAAAATTTAAGCCATGTATCAAGCAAATCGTAGGCCCATTGAACCCATACGCCATATCATATAAGGATAAAAGCCTAACAGCCAAGACCCAAGAAAGGCTTTCTTGAGTCAGCCTAGAGATTTGGTGGATCGACATGCTACTCTTATACGTAGAGATGAACATTCGATAGAGTCGATCGAGTTGAGTAAAATTATTTCTAGTTGACGAGTCATATTTTATAACTTTAACTTGACTTTAAATTTTATTGAACCAAATCTAGTTTGTAAAATTCGAGTTGATTCGAGTCAAATTTTCGAGTTTATATTTTAATTTAATTATAAATGTTTATGATATTATTTGATTATAATTTAAATATTTTTTTATAACTATATACAATACATGTATATCTTTTCATATATGATATACATATATCATACAGAGTCGAAGGACTCTACTAAAACTTGAAAATCAATCAACTAATTATTAAAAATTTAGAGTTATTCAAGTTGTATTTTATAACTCGATTTGAACTTAATTTTTTAATCCAGTTGAAAAAAATCAAATTTTAAGTAAATCGAATTTTATTTACTCATACGCATTTAAATCACGTTATTTAAGATGATAGGGTATGATGTAAATTCTAAACTAAAACTATAAAATTTAAATTTAATTAAACAATTAAAAAGATTATTTTTTATCAAAAATGAAACAATAGCTGTCATGTTATAAAATTATAGTAATTATTAATATGATAAATTATATTGGGCAAAATTCTCCAGTTAATGAGTTGAAATAAAAGATTCTTCAGATAATACAACCCAATAATTATTTGTTCATTTGGGATATTTGCTACAGTTCAAGAGTTGGTCATCAGGTCCTCTAGACGACCTCCATAAGTCGTCAAGTCCTCCAAACGTTCAAGCATTGGTTTCCTAGATTTCCCATAAGTAACGGTGATTACCTAAATTGGTAATTAGGCTTTTAGTCGAAAGGTCGCCAAGTCCAATGTTTTCCTTTGTTTCTCATAAGTAACAACGATTACCTATATCGGTAATTAGGCTTTTAGTCGAAACATCCATAGGTCAGTAAGTTCTTCCGGCGACTTTCTAAACTTCCTCGACATGTACTATAACATTCACATTAAATCAAAAAATAATAGTTAGACCTTTTTTTCAACAAATAAAATTTTTCACAACTCTACATCAAATTAGCCATTATATTGCATACCCAAAATCAAAATATACATAAATATTGCACACCGGGAACAAGTGGAAACTGGAAAGTGACACATGCAAGCAATCCAATCCAAAGATCGATTAGAGGACAGCTGTAGAAGCAGTCAATTTACTGTTATTTTCCTCATTACTGATGACTACGCCCACGCCATAACCGAAAGGCGAAAACATAAAAGGTTCCTTTCTCACTGAAACTGACAGCTCTCGCCTCTCCACCCTCCAATTTTCAACCCGTAATAAAATCCTCCTATTTGGCTAAGTCTCTTCCACGTTTCTAACTTCCATTGCTTGCGTCTAGATCTCCTCTGCCCCACACCGCACCATCATCGACCAACTTGGTCAAAGCTTCAATCATAACAGAAACCAAGCCTCAAACTCACCTTTCAGAATTCAGACAGAAGAGCAAAGAGGCAAATTCCTTGTTGAAATGGCCTCCAAGTTGTGCGACTCGTGCAAATCAGCGACGGCCACTCTCTTCTGCAGCTCTGAATCCGCCTTTCTCTGCTCCAACTGCGACTCCAAAATCCACGCCGCCAACAAGCTCGCCTCCCGCCACGCTCGAGTCTTGGTCTGTGAAGTCTGCGAACAAGCGCCGGCTCATGTCACCTGCAAGGCTGATGCAGCCGCTCTCTGCGTTACTTGTGACCGAGACATCCACTCGGCTAACCCTCTCGCTCGCCGCCACGAGCGCGTTCCATTGGCTCCCTTCTATGGTTCTGTCAAGCCCAACACGGCGTTTAACTTCCTCGACGACCGTTACTTCTCCGACGTTGATGGTGACGCTGAATACGGCAGCAGGGAAGAAGCGGAGGCCGTATCGTGGCTGCTCCCCAACCCTAACAACCATAAGGCTATTGAAAGCCCGGACGTGAACGCGGGACAGTACGTGTTTTCCGATATGGATCCGTATCTGGATCTGGATTACAGACATGTGGATCCGAAAATGGAAACACATAAGTATGACCAGGAGCAGAACAGCTCTGCAACTGACGGAGTTGTTCCTGTCCAAAACAAAACCGTCCAAGCTCCGCTTGTTAACGATCACTGTTTCGACTTGGAGTTCACTACACCCAAAGCCTTCCCTTATGGCTACAACTGCAACCCTCACTGCCTTAGCCATAGTGTAAGCATTAAACAAATATAAGCAAATACTAGTATCAGGTCTTTTCGCATAGTCAAAGTTTCAAATTTTAACCATGTTTTTTTTCTATTTACTTTTTGTAGGTGTCATCATCATCGTTGGATGTTGGGGTGGTGCCAGATGGTAGTGCAGTGCCGGACATATCAGTCGCGTGTGGGAAAGGCTCAACGGAATCAACCCATCAGGCGGTGGTGCAACTTTCATCGGTGGAGAGAGAGGTGAGGGTGTTGAGGTACAGAGAGAAGAGGAAGAACAGGAAATTCGAGAAAACGATACGTTACGCCTCGAGAAAAGCTTACGCAGAGGTGCGGCCGAGGATTAAAGGGAGGTTCGCAAAACGCAGTGACATCGAATTCGAGGTCAATGGCGGTAACATGTATGGATTCGGCGTCGTTCCGTCGTTTTGAAATTAACCTCCTCCCATCTCCTTCTAATGTAGCCTGTAATAATATTTTACGACGAATTTTTGGAGTTGTAATTTTTACGTGTTTTCTTTTTTTCCTTTTTACTTGACTACTCACTAAATTACTGTTTTTGTTCAGTATGCAGTATGCAAGAAAGTGAAGAAAGAAGAATGTATTGCCATCTGTAATCCAAATAACTACGGAATCTGGACCATTGGTTCCGCAATGTGTCATGTTTACAGTATTAATGATTATAGGTTAAATTTTGGTTTTGGTACCTCTACTCTGAACAAGTTTGAGATTTTATTATTGTATTTTAATTTGGCATAATATTTATAGAATGCCATTAGTTAATTCTCAGTCAAAGTGTTAGCATTAACTCATGATATTACAAAAACAAAAGATTAAATTATGATGATTATATTACAAATTAAAAATAATATGTAAGGACCGCTATGGTTGGTTGTGCACTCGACAGGTACGTGACTAGAATCGTGGTTGTCGAGATAGCTCCCAATCTCTTTGGAGTTTTCTTTGTCATATATGATATCAACGAGGATCGAAAGAGGTTTAGGGTTAGAGAGAAAGAAGGATTATATGATTTTTCTAAGAGAGTTTGAAAGTTTAGGTGTTATTTTGTTTACGTGTCACTTCATTGAAGTGATACGAATTAATGACTTAATGATAGAAATGAGATAATTAATTCAGTATATTTTTAAAATCGAAGATCAAAGTAAGATATGTAGCAAATAAAAATGATCGATAAAATATTTTATTATTTGTATTTGTATTTAATGTGTGATTCTTCTAAGTTAAATTAGCGGAGTAAAAATTTCAAAAACATATTACTATTTAAATCTATTTCATGTTTGTATAAATTTCATTTTTATTTTAAAGGGCGTATAAATAAAAGGGCATGCACTGCATATTGACCTGCAGGTAAAATTTTAAACCATTAAGCTATTTAACTATTGTTATTTTTAATTATAAATGGTGTATTTATAGGGCTGGTTTGTCTATCCTCTCGTAAGTTGATTTAGATGTATACTCAATTGGTCAACTTTTCTTTTTAATTTTTGAAGAGTTGAAATTTCTTATTATTCTATCAATAATTATTTATTTAAATAATAATTAAGCTGCAAATATCAATCTTTATATATAGGGCGAGGTCTTATTGTGTGAGTATCAATTTTTGTGATACTCAAACTGCTTCTTTAAATATAGTATTTATTTTCCATTTACAACAATAATGTGAAAGCATGTCTGTCCATCTCAAGCTGAAAATGCATGGACATGAATTATTATTCATGCTTCAATGCTTTAAAGTAAAAGCTATTTATGACATGAATGGAAAGTATGGATATTTATTGCACACATTAAAGTAGATGATGAATAATGATAATTACATAAAAAGCAGCAACCATATCATAGATCAGGTTGCATTTAAATCCATTAAAGTTAACACATACAAGACAGTAATAAATATAAAACAATAGATAAATCTAGGATTGACGTTCAACGGAATTTTAATATTTTGAACACTTAATTAGGTATAATATTGATTTTTTTTTCGTCATTTTATTATACAATTTGATATTTAAAATTAACATTTTTCTTAAATTAGTGTTTAATTTTTTTTTATCGTTGATATATGTGTTGAGATGTCACTTAAATAATCAATTAAGTTATTTATGTGATATTGATTGGTCAAATATTTGGATCTGTCGTAACCGGTTTTCGCCCGGGCACTAATTTTGCACTTACTTGGCGGGAAAAGTGATGTGAATAAATGGTTTTTAAAATAATTTGGGAGTCACCATCGGCCTTTTGGGTTAGGTAGGTTGAATACCTAAAAATTATCTTTTAAAAGAGTTTTAAGAAAACATCAGTTAAAAGATGAATTGATCTGCGTTTATAACCAAAAATTCATTCTTTTTAATAATAAAAAGGGATTCGTGGTCGGTTACGTTTAGGGAATGATTAGCACCCCTACAACGCCCAAAATTGGTACTTTTAAATTATAAATTGTCTCTATTATTGGAAATTTAAAAATTCAAAGATATATTTAATTCATAATTCTATTATTTTCAAATAATTTTAAGAAAAATATATTAATATACATAAATAAGATATTTACTTATTTAGAAATATCAAAAAAGGGCTTCTAGGTGCTTTAAGACAGCTCTTTTCTTTGATATTAAAAAATAAATAAATATCAAAAACATTTTATTTTAATATAGTAAGATATTTATTTATTCAAAAATATCAGAAAAGAGCTTATAGGTACCTTAAGACAGCTCTTTTCTTCGATATTAAAAATAAATAAATATCAAAATATGATTATTTTTCTTAAAAGTAATTTACAAAATTAAATTTATAAATAGAAAAATAGAATAAATAAATAAATATTATATATATTTATAAGACTATATATATTGACATAATTAATAAATAATAATAGTAATAGTAATGATAATTAAATATATATGAACATAAATATATAAAAGTAACATATGATTAAATAAAATTAAAACATGGTATGAAAAAAAAATAAAAAGTAATAAAGCTTGTAAAATAAATGAAAATATTAAACTTAGGGACTAAATTATAATCTAATAAAATTAAATACCTAATTTGTAATTAATTATTTAAAATTATAGGGATTAAACATGTTATTTTTCTTATTTATTAATTTAGTGACTAAATTAAAATTATATAAAATTTGAATATCAGATTAAAATAAATTAAAAATATGTAATCGGGATTAAAATATTAATTATTAAAACTAAAGGACTAAATACGTATTTTATCTAAAATATTTATAATTACGGTTAAGGGCTAAAATATAAATAAATAAAATTTAGAGACCAAATTAAAAGGATCATAAATTTGATTCAGTGACTAAAATGTAAAACATATAAAACAGAGGGACTACTGACAGGGTTTAACGTTTAAAAATTACACAAATAGCCCTCCCCAAAACGGCATCGTTCGGGGAGGGCTATTTAAGCCCGAAACGGCTTGCCCTTCGGGCCAGCTCTCTCATTTGCTCTCTTATCATTCTCTCTCTAACTGAGAGAGAATGAAAAACACTCTCCCCTCTCTCTTAAATTCCCTCGTCTGTGGGAATTCCGACAACCGTCGACAGCCACACGCCGTCGCAAGTTCCGCCGCCGGCCACCGCCTCCTGTGGCCGAAAATTCCCAAATTTACCTAAAATATAGATCTAAACGCCCTAAGACCGATTCCGGTCTTTGTTTTCCCTAAAAACCCTTAGGCTCCTGTAGATCTAATTTTTTTACATCTGAACTTTTGATTTCACGGTGGTTCCACGGTGGTTCGGCAGCTCTTCGATGGTGAGTTCCTTCTCCGTTTCTCTCATTCTCTCATTCTGTCTTTCGTTTTCTTTGGATATGGTTGCTCTCGTCGTTACTGTGTTATGTCTTGCTGGGTATCTTTGTCGTTCATCCTCTCTGTTTTCTTTTTTTTTCTTTTTGCAGGTGTGGTCATATAGTCTCGAAGAGGCTCTCGTCGGACCAGTCAATAGAGAAAGCTTTGGTGAGTCACCGAACTTCCAGTGGTTACTCACCTCTAGAGCAGCGATGTGTATGACCTCAGGATGCTTCTGGAGCATTCTAGTGAGGTGGTGTCAAGGTAGCAAGGCGTCGGCAGCTGCTGGTTGGGTCACCTGGCATTGAAGGTGTCGGTTGGCTGACGAACGGCGGCCATATTGCCCTAGGGTATCATAACCCTAGGGTTTCTGCTAGCACCATCTGAACCGTTGGATCAATGCTAGATCCAACGGTGGAGAAACAAAGCGGCGACAGTACTAGGATAGAAAACCCTAGTTGGGTTTTAGGGTTTTTGATGGATTTGCTCAGTTGGGCCAGAATTGGGCTACTATTTGGGTTGTAATTTGGGCCTATAATATATAATAAATAATAATATTAATAATAATAATAATAAATAATAATAATAAATATAATAATAATAAATATAAAAAAACAAATGTAAAAAACTAGTGTCTTCAGCTGCATCTCTTTGCTCATTCTTGTATTAACAAGAATAGGGCAAAGACAAAAAGACAATAAGTTTTTTTTTCATTTGACTTCATTTGATTATGATGGTAATGTTGAATAAAATCTTCTTTGGGTTTAGTTCTTCTCATTATGAACTTTTCCACTGGGGATGATAATTTGTCTCCTTTTGTGATGTAATCTAGAAATATTGATGTTGATCTATCTCTTTCTGTGATAGAATCATGCAAAAGATTGAACAAGTTCTTCTCATTATGAACTTCTTCTTCCTTCTTCAGATGAGTTCTTCTCATTATGAACTCTCTCTGGAAAAGTTGATCCATCGAGTGATGAATTCGAGCAAAAAGTTGAACAAATTCTTCTCATTATGAACTTTTTTCTTCTTTCTTCAGATGAGTTTTTCTCATTATGAACTCGCCCTGGCAATGTTGATCCATCAAATGATGAATTCAAGCGAAAAGTTGAACAAGTTCTTCTCATTATGAACTTCTTCTTTCTTCAGATGAGTTCTTCTTATTATGAACTTTATTTGGAAAAGTTGATGCTGATCTATCTCATTCTGTGATAGAATTATGCAAAAGGTTCAACAAGCTCTTCTCATTATGAACTTCTTCTTCCTTATTCAGATGAGTTCTTCTCATTATGAACTTTCTCTGGAAAATTTGATCCATCAAGTGATGAATTTAAGCAAAAGGTTGAACAAATTCTTCTCATTATGAATTTCTTCTTTCTTCTTCAGATGAATTCTTCTCATTATGAACTCTAACTGGCACTGCTGATCCACCGGGTGATGAATTTAAGCAAAAAATTGAACAAGTTCTTCTCATTATGAACTTCTTATTTCTTCTTCATATGAGTTCTTCTCATTATGAAATTTCTCTGGAAAAGCTGATCCATCAAATGATGGATTTGAGCAAAAGGTTGATCAAGCTCTTCTCATTATGAACTTCTTCTTCCTTCTTCAGATGAGTTCTCATTATGAACTTTAACTTGAAATGTTAATGATGATCTATCTTCTTATGTGATAGAGTCAAGCAAAAGGTTGAACAAGCTCTTCTCATTATGAACTTCTTCTTCCTCTTTAGATAAGTTCTTCTCATTATGAACCTTCTGGCAACGCTGATCCATCGAATGATGAATTCGAGCAAAAGGTTGAACAAGTTCTTCTCATTATGAACTTTCTCTTCCTTATTCAGATGAGTTCTTCTCATTATGAACTTTCTCTGGTAATGCTGATCCA